AGGGCCCACTCCAACAACACCGATACTGTCCCCACTTTACCACCTGCACAATCCTCAGGTGTGGGGTTTTATCACAAAAGGCCTCGGTATTAGTTGGAGTGGGGTAATTCTATTTAAAGTACTCTCTCTCCTTCCCTCTCTCCGATGTGGGACACAATTGGTTTCAACACTCCCCCGCACGTGAGACCCCATTTTGTGGGTCACACGTGGAGATCCACACATCGGCAACCACGTGGAGCCATGTAGGGACTCACCCATCGCACGGGGCCAAACGGGGACCCACCCATCACGTGGCAAGTACGGGCCCGCAACCTGGCTCTGATACCATGTCAAATTTTCCAGGTTAACGGGCCAAGGGCCCACTCCAACAACACCGATACTGTCCCCACTTTACCACCTGCACAATCCTCAGGTGTGGGGTTTTATCACAAAAGGCCTCGGTATTAGTTGGAGTGGGGTAATTCTATTTAAAGTACTCTCTCTCCTTCCCTCTCTCCGATGTGGGACACAATTGGTTTCAACAGTATGTAGATTTTACGTTACCTTATTCAGAATCTGGATTGTCGATGGTAGTTTTGATGGAACATAATGAAAGAGACAATATTTGGATTTTCTTGAAGCCCCTAAGCTTGGATCTTTGGTTGACAACGGGGGCAGCCTTCATATTTACAGGTTGTGTGATATGGGTTCTTGAACACCGAGTAAACACTGAGTTTAGAGGTCCTCCAGAGCAACAACTTGGCATGATATTCTGGTTCTCCTTTTCAACTCTTGTCTTTGCTCAAAGTAAATTATCTTGTCCTTATCAAAGCCTTTTGTTTTGTTTTGTTTCTTTCGTCAGAATAACAAATTAGAAACATGTTCTGACTAACCAACAAAATACATTAGAAAGTGGTGAAGCATGTATATACTAATTAATTTTGCTTTTATAATTCTGTAGGGGAGAAAGTGGTGAACAACTGGACACGTTTAGTGTTGATTATATGGGTTTTTGTGGTATTGATCCTGACACAGAGTTACGCTGCAAGCTTAGCCTCAATGTTAACAGTTCAGAAATTGAAACCTTTATTTACTGATATAGAAGAGATCAAAAGGAATGGTTGTTATGTAGGATATCAAAATAATTCATTTATTAAAGGGTTTCTAACAGAAAATTTAGGGCTCAAGGAGTCCATGTTGAAGGCTTACAAAACCATTGAGCAGTATAATGATGCACTATCCAAAGGAAGCGACAATGGTGGAGTCGCTGCCATAATTGATGAAATCCCTTACCTCAAACTGTTCATCGCTAGGAGCTGTTCCAAGTACACCATGGTTGGACCAACCTACAAAACTGACGGATTTGGCTTTGTGAGTTCCCTCTTAATTTTCTTGGATTGTCTTCTTGTTTTTCATAATTAATCCATAAAACGCAGAGCGTATATGCAGCAATGGATCCATTTTATACATCCATATGCTGAACTTTTCTTTACTTTTTATTTTTTTTTGTCTTTGTTATCAGGCCTTCCCGAAAGGGTCACCTCTAGTCTCCTACATGTCAACGGCAATCTTAAAAGTCACTCAAGAAAAAAGTTTGATGGATTCAATTGAGTCCAAGGCCTTTACAAACCAAACCATCTGTGATGATCAAAGTGCCAAAATTTCTTCAGATGGTCGAAGCCTCCATGTGTACAGCTTTGGGGGACTCTTCATCATTGCAGGTGCGGTCTCCGTGTTTTCACTTCTGATGTACATGTACAGCTTCCTCTGCTCACATTGGCCTACATTGAGGGCGATGATAAGTTCTGAGAGCTCATTTTGGTCTAAATTGGTTGAATTGGCAAAGCATTTTGACAACGAAGATCTCAGTTCGCATCATTTGAAGCGAAGAACATCCAGAGTACATGTCGTGGATACTCCTGATGATCAAGCTATAGGCGCTCTACCTGATGCAAATGACATGCATAACCATATAGTAGTGACCAACGAAACAGTGGAGAACAATATTGATCCAAATGAAAATGATGAAAATCTTTCATCTGGGCATATTGATTCTATTGTAAATCAGTAAATGTACCATAATGAACAGATATGGTAAAACAAACTAAGATTGCTAAAAATACGGGAAAATAATTGTGGTAATCTTCTATATTCTTCTCCTGATAGGAGGCACATATATATAGTACATCAGGCCTTGGAGGACAAGTAACTTTGGAGGCTAAGTAATGTAAGACAATTCTCCAAATTCTATTTACAGGTAGGAAATCAGATATAGAAAAGGAAACAAATTACAGTCAATCTATGACAAGAAACTTGCCTTTTGAACCATAACTCATAAGGAGTTAGTTTCAATTTCTTTGTAGGAACTCTATTTAATAGATGACAAGCAGTGAGCATTGCCTCTCCCCAATAAACTTTGCTAAGGTTTGAGTTTAGTAACATGGGACTCACCCCTATTTTTCCTTTCTGCTACACCATTTTCTTATGGTGTATAGGCAATAGAGGGTTCATGTACAATACATGCAAATTCACAAAAAAGATGGAAATATATATTCTCCACCTCTATCAGATCTAAGATACATGATCTTGGCTTCACACAGATTTTCTCTGGAACCTAGGGTTTCCTACGGTTTTAGGATTTCTTGGTTTTCTATTTAAGCCAACTCATGGCATTATATTAATTAGTTTTTATCATATTATTAATAAATTTTTAGAGATTTTCACTATTTTCTGGTGGATTCCAGTTGCTGATGGATTTCAGTTTATAATTTCGGGTTTAGACGTTTTTCGATCCGTAAACTCGTGCTTCTGTGATGCATCAAGTGGTATCAGAGCAGGTCATCATTCAAAACATGGATTTGCCTTCTCATTGATGAGTGGCAATGGGAGGTACGCAAACCTCATCAATGATGGTCGCAGGGAAATATCAAATATTAAAGGGGAATGCGCTGGTGGTTTTGCCCAAAGCCTTCATGTGTACAACTTCAGGGGACTCTTCATCATCGCAGGTGTAGTCTCCATGTTTTCACTTTTGATGTACATGTACCGTTTCCTTTGCTCACAATGGCCTACTTTGATGACCACGATTCATTTTGAGAACTCATTTCGGTCGAAAATGGTTGAATTGGCAAAGCATTTTGACAAGAAAGTTCTCACTTCGCATCCTTTTTGACAGGACCCGCCCCGAATTCCTCGGAACCCGAAACGAATCTTGTGGAAATTCCGACATCACACCGATGCCGGACCCACCTACTAAGAACCGAGACTTTCTGCCGAAATTTAGGCAGTCTCCCCTGAAAATTTGACTTTCCCCAAAATTTCAACATGACAACAAAACACAGTTTAAAACCCAACTGGCAACATACACAAGTTATCAACATGCAAAATACAAAATAGGCCTCTGGCCTTCAAATGGTTCGAAACAAAACCAGCAAAGTTCTTAAGTCGAAAACTACAAAAACAAAGCAATTGAATATTTCAAACAACTTTACGAATACCACCGAAAACATCAAACAGGATTCAAATCCAATAACCACACCATAATCCAATCACATATACAGAATCGATCAAACCTTTCAAACATAACAAAATTCGCGGCTGCACCTAGGTGAGACCCCAGGCTGCCTACGTACCCTTTGACAAGGGATCAAGCCACACGTAGTTCTCGTCTCAACGGTCACAACTCCGATAATAGACAATTATTTTCAACAGAACCAACTATACATTTGAGATCAATCACAATTCTAAATCCGATAAAAACACATTGAAACATTATCACTTTCCTCCCAAGGCATTGTATTAAGAAGACATCCGAAGGGCCTGGACAAACTCCGACGGGCCTGGGCAAAACAAATCTCTGAAGGGCCTGGGCAAAATAAATCTCCGAAACATAAAACCCATAACCGGGGAGGTACCTAAGGTAGTGCTAATAACACTCAACTAATATTCCAAGTACCCCACACATAATCAACAAAGATAGTACTTTCTCAAATATTATATATAAACTCAAGACACTCGAATATTAACAATAATAGGATTACTCACAAATTAACAATCTACTTATAAATATAAATATAAATCTCACAACAAACCATTAAAACAATATGCATAAACTTTCCATCACAAAACCATAAAAATAATCTCTTAGACCCACATACTCAACATAAATCAAATAACGGTCAAGACCCGTCCGAAAGGGTCATTCTAGTACTCTTCGAAGAGTAAACTACCTTGGAAGACTTCCGTTTTACGATCCGAACGTTCCGATGGGTTCCTCAAGGTTTAGGAAACATGTCCAACAAGTTTGGTTCAGATCGGACGGTCGGATCGCTCACGATCGCACGATCGGACGATCGGACGGTTATTGTAAAACACAAACTTTAAGTTATTGAATCGGAACATCCGGGGCTCTGATTCACAATCCGTCAAATCCTACACGATCCTAGGAATGCCTAGATCAACATATATTAAATTGGCAGTGATCCAATGGTTCTAACGTATCGAACCCGGAATTCGCACAATATGTAAAATCCGTTCGTGATTCAAACGCTATCCGAATTGAGATCCGTAAACTCCTACGCACTCGTGACAACCAAGGGATCGCATTGGCACTCAAAGCCCCTCTGCTACAGTGCCCACGCCCCGCCACACGCGCAGGCAGCGTGTGGGTGTCCAAAGCGATAACGGTTCGCCGGAAAATCTCAGAATCACGACTCCAGACTCCTATCCTAGGTAAAACACCTAATTTGGAGTCACTTTTGTTCTTAGGCTATGGCCAAAAAATGGCCGGAAGTTGCCGGAAATTCAAATTGAAAACCGGCAGAACTTAAATTCGAAAAATGGACTATCAACGCTAAAAATTTATGAAACCCTACCCAACCAGGAGCTAGATCATGAAAAATAGTCAAAATTTCATACCTCATTCGTCCGATTTGGTGAGAATTGAGGGAGAACGAGCGATGGAAAATCTGTCAAAAACCAGCGCGATTTTCTGCATTTTCCGGTGGCTTCCGGCGGTGGTGGCGGCTGAGCTTGGCTGGGATTGGAAGAGGAAGGTGGCCCGGTTCGTTTGGGACCGGTGCCGTCGCTCGGGGTGGCCGGAGATGGTGACGGCGTGGCTGGTTCTGTGCGGATGAACAGTAACAGAGGGGGGGGGTCGCGCGCAGAGGGAGAGGAGAGAGAGAGAGAGGGGTTTCTGTTTTTATTAAAAATAACCTTCGAAATAATTACGATTGTGCCACTGAAAGTTTTTAGATCGTATCTCTCTTGTTACAACTCCGATTCAAGCCTACCGCATGTCTACAGACTCGTCTCAGCACGACCTACGTAAAGGTACCAGCCACTGCCCCGAAATCCTTCCGGAGTAAAAATGATCAAATTTCCCCTACTCCGAGGGCAAAATTGGAAATTCATAATTCTTGAAATTAATTAATTCACTATTCCTTTTATTTTGGGTCGGGATGTTACACTTTTACGCGAAGAACATCCAGAGTACATGCTATGGATACTCCTGATGAGACAGTTGATGCAAATGATATGCAAAACAACTCAGCAATGGAGAACAATATTGATGTGAATGAAATGAATCAAATGGTGGAAATCTCTTATCAGGGCATATTGATTCGTCTATCCATGTACCTAACTTGTCATCATGGGCTTCCTATGTGAAAATATATGAAGAATATGGTTTGTACTGAGCGAGTTCAACCGTATACTGAGACATGTGTTTTATACAAGTAAAGGAAAGCTATTCTAGGTAAACTGAACCTAAGTATGATGATTACAATTATATCCCACAATTGCTCCCAATTAGAGATCATAACCAGATCATTGACTATTTTGTTTCCTTTTACACGTCCCCTCAAGTTGGAGTATGGATGTTAATTATACCCAACTTGCTGAGATGTGTATGAAAAATAGGTGCCCTTAGCGGTTTTGTAAAGATGTCAGCTATCTGATTTCTTGTTGGCACATAAGCTGTCTTAATTTCACCCTATTGGATCTTTTCACGAACCGTGTGGAAATCTAGCGTGATATGCTTGGTTCTCTCATGGTACACCGGATTCTCAGCAATATGTAAGGCTACTTGATTGTCGCAAAACAATCTTGCTGGCTCAGAATGTGGTACTTGTAAATCTCTCAACAAATATCTTAACCAAGTAAGTTCACAAGTGGCTGCAGCCATGGAACGGTATTGTGCTTTGGCTGATGATCTAGGCATTGTGACTTGCTTCTTACTCTTCTAGGACACAAGTGAGTTTCCAAGGAAAATGCAATATCTTGTCACTGATCGACGTGTAATAGGACACTTAGCCCAATCCGCATCACAATAGCTAACCAAACTCAGCTAACTTTTTGTAGAAAATAGTAAGCCTTGCCCAGGTGTGTTCTCGAGATATTGAAGAAGATGGCATGCTGCCTTGAGGTGGTGCAACTTGGGTTCTTGCATGAACTGACTCAAGGTGTTTATTGCATATGTAATCTTTGGCCTGGTGATGGTGAGGTAGATTAATTTTCCAATTAATCGTCGATATCGAGTTGGGTCCTTGAGAGCATCACTGCCTGTTGTCGTAGTACCAACTCAGGTTCCATGGGGACTTTGGTGGGTTTCACTCCAAGCAAACCAGCTTCTTCCAATATGTCTAGAGTATACTTTTGTTGACAAATTGAAATCCCGTCTTTAGAGCATGCAACTTCCACACCAAGAAAATATTTTAATACTCCAAGATCTTTAATTTGAAAACCTCTGTTGAGAAATTGCTTGAGATTTTGAATTTCCTAGTCATCATTTCATGTAATGACCATGTCATCAACATACAGTAATATCACAGTAATAGAGTTTCCACGAACCTGAGTAAACAACAAGTAATCGACTCGAGATTGTTGGAATCCAATGTCTTGAATGGCAGAAGAGAACTACCAAAACCAAGTGTGTGAGGCTTGTTTAAGACTATATAATGATTTGTGGAGTCAACAAACCATCTGCTCCCCCGGTCGACGATAACCAGGGGGTGGTAACATATAAACTTCCTCAAGTAATTCACCATGCAGAAACGCATTTTGTACATCTAT